TCCACTTCGATCATGTGCAAGACGCACATTGTATGACTTATGCAACTCTCAAATCAAGGCGCTCTACCCTCGTTACGTCAGATGATACCTGTGTAGTTGCGTGACTGTTGACCAAAGGCGAGTGCAGATAACTAAAGAGGTTAATAGTATATTAATAGAAGTCTTGCCTAATTTCTTTAAAAACAGTTTTAAAGTTAATGCTTATAGGGTTTTAACTTCGCTATCAGCAATTACGTCTACATAGTAGTAACATATTAGAGGTCTAACGCCCAAGGTATCTTTGTTCGTGAGGTTAGACAATTCCTATCATCTTTGTTTGATATCAAATAATCCTTGCGCCATCTGCAATGTATAATCCAATGCACGGTCATTCCACACCCATCATCGGGTGACTGTCATGATGATCAAAATCATGAACTGCAGCAAGCAGACAGATATCATGTTACGAGAACGATGGGTTACACGGCTGATAGCAGCTATGAAAGACGCACATACCCGCATCCGCGGCCGAGGTAGTCCTTGTCGCACAGAAACGAGATATGTCAGCTTTGTGATAGCATACTTGTTGAAGAAGTGTAAAAACCGCGGCCGTGCTTACTTCGAAGTCACAAGCTTGCTTATGAGCTTCTGGCTCTCCAATGGATAGTTGCAAGTCATGGGTGAACACTGACTTCAGCTCCCTGGGGCTTCATCTGATTTAGTAAAGATAGACTGCAACGTTCATCCATTGTGGGAATTATCGGTACACCCTATTCAAGCAAAACATCGAACACCTACTAAAAATAAGCTGCCTGGAAGTATACATTTCCTTGAAAGTATTCACAACTTTGATCTTCACATCAATGTAGCCTGCACGGCACCTGTTCACTTTCTTCCTTGCGTGAGGTAGGTGCACCTATGGACACGTTCAAGCAGGACTGCAAATCGGCATGCCCTTGCAGGCCCAGGGTTCATGAGACAAAGGAGGCAATTGTGTTCTGATGGCCTATTACATAGTATACTATCGATGACGTGAATTCACGTAATCTTACGGACTTGATCGTTTTGCAAGTCTCGATTTTGCAGGTGACCTTACGCTATTTATCGCTCGTGTTCCAATGCACTATGACCGGCAGCTACCTGCAGTGTATATGCTCTATGACATCTCTCGCCCATTCAAGCGAACCAAGGAGCTCATTCTTACAGTGGACGGTAGGGGTAAATAACCCAGTAGTCTACATTGCATCAGGAATCTACGAAACTGCGTTTTGAACACCAATGTAGACTGCAGAGTACCTGTTGAGTTCTACTATAGAGTGCTCTGGTGTATATGTATTCTACAATCTGGGCCGCGACTTCGGCATCCTGAAATCCCGCTTGCTGCTTTCCTCCAGCCTGCAACATATCCTGGGATGAGCCCGCATGAGTTGTAGCCAGTGGCACGGTATAGCGATACTTTTAGAGTGTGGAAGATGAAACCATGCCTTCCTGATCTGAGGCCCAGTCGTTTGGTATGGAATTAATCTGGTCAGAAGCATGCTAAGAGACTAGACCACTTGCTTCTCGCCAGAATCACGTGCACATCAGAATCAAGGTAATTCGAACAAGAAAAAGCGGTCTCTTCATGCAAGATAAGCTACAGAAAGCCACGCATCATGACACCCGCTAAAGTCCCACAGTTTCGGAGGTATATCTTTTGTACAAAGTGAGACTACCAGCGATTTGCCCTAGACACTCTGGCCGACTCTTCACCCACCACGAAAGTCCGTCTATGACTTCTCGAGCTCGGCAAGAATCTTCTCTCCCTTGGCGCGGGCTGACTCGAAGTCACCGACCATGTAGAAAGCACCTAGAAATGTCAGTCAAACGCTGCGAGAACGAATATGTGGGAAACTCACCCTCGGGAAGGTCGTCACCCTCACCAGTCAAGATAGCCTTGAATGAGCGGATGGTGTCCTTGAGGTCGACAAGCTTGCCCTCGATACCAGTGAAGACCTGAGCGACAGCGAAAGGCTGGCTCAAGAAACGCTGGATCTTACGGGCGCGCTCGACGGTAAGCTTATCGGCTTCCGACAACTCGTCCATACCGAGAATGGCAATGATATCCTGGAGCGACTTGTACTCCTGGAGAATCTGCTGGACGCGGGTGGCGGTGTCGTAGTGGTCCTGACCGATGACACGGGGGTCCAACATACGGGACTTGGAGTCAAGAGGGTCGACGGCGGGGTAGATACCCAACTCGGAGATACCACGGGACAAGACAGTGGTGGCGTCCAAATGGGCGAAGGTGGTGGCGGGAGCAGGGTCAGTCAAATCGTCAGCGGGCACGTAGACGGCCTGGACGGAAGTAATGGATCCCTTGGTGGTGGTGGTGATACGCTCCTGCATGACACCCATGTCGATGGCGAGGGTAGGCTGGTAACCGACGGCAGAGGGGATACGACCGAGAAGAGCTGACACCTCAGAACCGGCTTCTGTAAAGTTATTAGTGGAAGTTTCGATAGAGCGAGCGGGGTGGACATAAGAGTAAAGCGGAAGATGTTGTCAATGAAGAGCAGGACGTCCTGACCCTCTTCGTCACGGAAGTACTGTTCAAAATGGGTCAGTGTATGTTGTAGGTACATTTCGTGCTCCCAAAACTTACTTCAGCAACGGTAAGACCAGTAAGGGCGACACGGGCACGGGCACCCGGGGGCTCGTTCATCTGACCGAAGACAAGGGCGACCTTGGAGTCACCGTCAAGCTGAATGACGGAAGTCTCCTGCATCTCGTGGTACAGATCGTTACCCTCACGGGTACGCTCACCGACACCAGTGAAGACGGAGAAACCACCGTGGGCCTTGGCGATGTTGTTCTGCGCATCGTTAGCTGATGCTCAGCCTGCATGCATTCCGTGTCCTTACGATCAACTCCTGAATGAACACAGTCTTTCCGACACCGGCACCTCCGAAGAGACCAATCTTTCCACCACGAGCGTAAGGAGCCAACAGGTCGACAACCTTGATACCAGTGACGAGGACCTCAGCGGAGGTGGACTGCTCGGTGAACTCCGGGGGGTCGGCGTGGATGGGGGCGTACTTGGTGGCCTTGATGGGACCACGCTCGTCAATGGGGTCACCAGTGACGTTCATGATACGACCAAGGGTACCGTGACCGACGGGGATCTTGATGGGGGCACCGGTGTCGGTGGCCTTGGAACCTCGGACGAGACCCTCGGTACCGTCCATGGCAATGCATCGGACGACGTTCTCACCCAAATGTTGCTGTGCTGAATCAGTGATGCTGTTCCCACTTCTTCAATTCTTGGCGTCCTTACAGCGACTTCGAGGATCAGCTTCTGGTCACCGTTCTGGGTTGTGACAGCGTTGAGAATAGCAGGGAGCTGCTCGGTGTCGAACTTGACCTGCAATTGGTTGTCAGCGGCTGTTGTGTGGATGCGATCGCTGATGGCGAAGTCAAAACTCCACCACCATCAACCAGAAAACTTTTCTTAAAGGAAATTGGCGGCGTTTACGTCTACTATGGCTCCTATCACTTGGTGAATCTTGCCATCCTTTGTAGCATCGGTGCTGGCGAAGCGTGTGGACATAGCTGGGGCGAAGCTCTTCTTCATGGGCGAAAATGCGCTGCGGCGGATGGCCGGCCTGCGCATGGAAGCGCGGAGCGCCTGCTGGATCCCACTGTCGAAAACGGCGTCAGTCCATCTCAATTCATCGTCAATTGAACTCATTGGGCGTTTGGCTTACCTCTTCAGCATTGTGAGATATGTGGTAGACGGATTGGTGAGTGGAGAGAGGGTGGGTTGATGAGGAAAGAGCTTCTCACAGCTCGAAAGGAAGGCGGCGTGCCAAAAGATCCGTGCGCGGCTAGTGCCCACGCGGTTAGCATCCGGCAACGAGACAACCCCAGGATCGATTTTCCCACATCTCCAAAGCACGTTGCAATTCTATTCTTACACTTCGAGTGTGGTCGCTCTTACCATCCGAGGATCGCAACTTACCTCCACATGCATGCCTGCTTGGACGATGCCACGACGAACAACCGCCTTCCGATTCGCTCCGATTGAACAACCGTCTTCAGCAGCCGCCTCGGAATCAGACCCCATAAAGCGAAACGATGGTGCACGAAGTCAAATCATGGTGTGCGCAAAAGACTCTGTCAACCCATCTATACAGTACATTACAATTCAGGCTGCGGTCTGAGGCCGACTTCCACGACTGTTCCGTGAACTAGGATCATAACGAGGACGCGTATCGGGATACATACTCGCAACAGTCGACTCACACAGCCTACCATAGTTCTCATCGTGATGATCCGTCGCCGAAGGGCGACTCACAATTCCCAAGATTTATACCACATACCATTAGGTCTTCCCGAATGAGATGTATCGCCGTTTCAACTATCGGGAAATCCGAACAACCGTCGCCAACTCAAGAACCCGCCACAGAACGTCATGCTAACAAGGAGGATGAAGATTCCACAAGATGCTGTTTAGCCACCGAGCTACTTATCTCTCTGGATACGCTAATCCCTAGCATCATCTTCCCTCTCGGTCGCCAGTTCTGGAGATCAACAGCCATGATCTCAAATATGTATCCCTCGGATCGCACAGTACATCGATGAAGCGGTTATCGTACTACAGGAATTAAGAGCTTGCTCGTAGTCTCCAAGCCAGTACGAGGAGTTACCGCGACGTCATGGTTCTGACTGTGAGTACCTCCAGGCTCTATTGTCAGAAAGTGTAGCCCAGTCGAGACGCCAATGTATACTGCAACGCGTGAAAATGTATCAGTCACAATCACGTCCAGATGCGGGTCTTTATAGCATCCAATATGACAACACCGGCGGAAAGAAGCTCGTGGTTGATTTGTAGACAGAAAAGCTGAATACTTCCCCTGTCCTGGAAACATACCCTGGGCGTCTACATCACATCCTGTCTTACAACCTTGTGACCGCAACACACAACGTATACTTCAGAGTAGATTTTGCGTGTTGGGTAGGATTTCGGAATGCCAGGCTTCATGGATTGTAAGTGTTCTTCTCCTACACCTTACATTGTGATAGCGAGATTCATGCTCGTCTGCCGGTCGCACGAAGGCTGCCTTCCTCAAGGTCAGCCCACGGATGCGCCGAAGCTAAAGTACGATGGGAAGACCAAGGGATTCCTACTGAATTCTGATGAGTGTACTTGGCGACATCGAACCACCGATGGCAGATGCACCGAGGAAAGCAGAGGTTGGATGGGCAAGGTGGAGGAGTATCTCTGCAACATGCACCAGGCCAGGTTGCGGGCCCGTCAAGACATGGAGGCACCGAATATCAGGCAACTGAAGGGCCCTGTCAATCGCAAGAGGAAGTCGGCAGCGATGGTTGAAGAGGAGGAGGACGACGACGACCAAGAGTGAAGCGAGATGCCCTCTTTCACCGATGGTAAGTGGTTCCCCTTTACACATGACGAGATGCGATGATTGTGCTGGCGTGATGCCTTGATCGTGCTGGCGAGAAGCCAACCCTTTGCGCATGGCGAGATGCCAGTTCCCTTCTTCTCTTTCTCTTTCCTCTCCTCTCCTCTTCGTTCTTTTGCACAAAGGGTTCGTTGTTTGTTCTACTCTGGTAGTCAAGCGAAGAACTTGGAGCGCGGTACGGGGCCGGGCGAGGTAGTGGGTGGCAGCGTTGTATCAGCCGGGAGGTAGGACGGCGCGGCGGAGACTGTCAACCAGATTAGCCTACAATGAAATTGATGAGGAGCATTGGGTTGTCATCGAAGACTTCGTGAATCACAATACCAAGATGTGTATACTTCAGGCGTTGGGTACAGCAAGGACCATAGAGTACGCATCGGGTGTTGTTCATTCGCGATCGGGCAGTACAAAACTCTACACTAGTTGGCAGCAAGTACAAGAGGATTCGGAATCAACGGGCCATATCTAAGTCACCTTCACTTTCACCTTCACCTACAGTGGCAAAACAGGGTCGAGACGACCGCAACCGCAATCAGCCAAGAAGAGATTCTGACAAAAAAAAAACAAGTTAGTCTCAAGCTGGACTCGACCCATGAGCAAAAATATAACAATACTTCGATGAGATACCCGACATTTTCATGACGTACAAACGCTAATCACCCAGGTAGAGCTCGCAGGTCTTTGTTACATGAGGAATAGCTTAATTAAATGAAATATATAGGACAGTCACATCATCTACGTTGATTTCTCCAAACTTACCCTTTCGTCAAAATACAGCGTGGAGTTATTCGCTAAGGTATTTGTTGATACGCGAAGCACCGGCAAGATGAAGTGTACTTTAAGCGTCACTTGCAGCTAGAACTCCAAGCTTCCCATCGGTCGAGGATATGTTGCATTAACTCCTATTTCACGACCTTTTTGGTACTTGTAGAGGGCTATACCAAACTTGGACACATGTTTAATGATACCCAACGGCTTGTGTGCTCATCTTTTTGAAGCTGTAACATAAATTTGGATCATGTTAGAAGAAAAAAAGGGCGTAGTTGATCGGCAGATGTCTTCTATTAATCTATCGAGACATAAATCGCTATTCATACTATGCGGCACGATCATTTCGCTGGGTATATTGACCCTTCAATTTAACATCCATCACCATGCCTCTTAGACATCGGTCATACTTCCTACAAAGTGCTCTCGAGCGCCAGCACCTGTTAATATGATTAGCATGTGATCGCAATAGATTCATCTAAGGGTTCACTTACGATAGCAGTCCTGCTAGGAATGTACACCTGCAGGAAGTTCTTCCTCTCGTTCCAGGCAAATGGTGTGGTGAAGAACCTAGTTGTCTCGTCCACGTTACCATGGCCACCGAAAGCCTTGTTGTCGGTACTCAGAACGATACGGTAAGTACCCTCCTGCTCGACGCCAACACGGTAGTCGGTGAAGCTCTCCTGGGGATGGAAGTTGAAGATCCACAATAGTCCAGCGCGCTCAAATACAATGACCTTGTCGCCCTCGTGCTTGAGACTGACATAGGCCTGAGGCGAGTGGAGCCATCCGTACTTCTCCTCAGTCCACTGCATCTTGCTGTCGAACTCGTTGAGGAACCTGTAGCGGAGGAGCTCGTCGTCTGGGAGGTTGAATTGGCGGCGGGCGTAGTGGAAGCTGTTGTTGTTGCCTTCGCGAGGGAAGTCGAGCCACTCTGGGTGGCCGAACTCGTTACCCTCAAAGTTCAAATAACCCTCACCTCCCAAGCCGTGTGTGATCAGTCGGATCAGCTTGTGCAGCGACAAACCGCGGTTGATGACTGGGGTGAGCTCCGAAAGGACCGACATGTTGGTGTACATTTGCGCGTCGCAAAGCCAGAAGAGCAGAGTCTTGTCTCCGACCAGCCTAGGATATGTCAGTATTGATCGTTAAACTCCAGACATTAACATACGCTTGATCGTGACTCTCCGCGTAGGCAATGGTCTTCTCGCCGTGCCTTCGGTTTGTCAAGGTGAAGACGAGTGCGCCCATGTCCCAGTCAATGTCCTGCTTCTCCTTCAACCACTTGATGTAGAGGTCGGGTACAGCCATGGCTAATCGGTAGTCGAATCCTATTCCGCCTAACGAGAGCGACACGCAAAGACCAGGCATACCGGAAACGTCTTCGGCAATTGTGATGGAGTCGGGGTAGAGTGTGTGCAGTAACTCGTTGGCAATCATGAGGTACACGACTGCCTCTTCATCGACCGAAGGACCGAAGTATTCGTGGTAACCGCCCGAGAAGCCCCTGGTTGTGTTAGTCTTTGCTAGCATCAGAAGAAGATGAATACTCACGTTCCAATGCCGTGGTGGGTGTATAGCATGCTGGTAACTCCGTCGAATCGGAACCCGTCGAAGCGGTACTCCTCCATCCAGAAGCGCAGGTTGCTGAGCAAGAAGCGCATGACCTCATGGGAACCGTAGTTGAACAGCCTGCTGTCCCACAGCTCGTGTCGTCCCTTGGCGCCCTCGTGGAAGTAGAGGTGGTCACTGCCGTCGAACATGTTGAGACCGTCAAGCACGTTCTTAGATGCGTGACTGTGCACCATGTCCAGCAAGACGGTAATGCCCATTCCGTGCGCAGTATCAATGAGCTCCTTCAGGTCGTCTGGGAAGCCGTAGCGGCTGCTCGCAGCGAAGAAGCTGTTGATCTGGTATCCGAAACTGGCGTAGTACGCATGCTCCATGACGGCCATCAATTGTATAGTGTTGTATCCCAGGTGCTTGATGCGGGGGAGGATGTCACGGGTGAACTCCTTGTAGGTCGCTACCTTGGGCTCGGGGGAGGAGATGCCAACGTGGGCTTCGTAGATACGTGCGCTCTGGGGCTTGGGCGGCCGCTGGTTCTTCCAGACGTACTTCTGGGGAGGGTTCCAGAAGCGGGCATCGTATACGGGGGAGACGTTGAGGTCTTGGGTCACTCGGGTGATCCAGGCGGGGAGGCGCTCCTGGCGCGCATGGTCGTTGGGGACGACGAAAGAGACCTTGATCTTGGAGTCGTGGGGGATGGTGGGCTGACCGTTCTGGCCAGGGATCGTCACCTCGAAGACGCCGAAATCGTTCTTGGTCATGGGTGTCGCATCGCGGTCCCAGCCATTGAAGTCACCAATGAGGTAGGCGCGCAGGGCATTCGGGGCCCACTCGCGGTAGACGACGTCGCCGTTGGACTGGACATTGAAGCCGAACTTCTCGTAACCCTGGGCGCTGTTAACTACACCGCTCTTGCCAAGGTGGTTGGGCTGCTTGCCCGCGAGAACTTCTCGAGACCGCCCTCAGTCTCTTCAATGGTCTTGATCCACTTCTGGGCCTTGGAAAAGCGGCTCTTCAGCGCGTCCTTGAAGGGCTCAAGGTAGCCATCCATCTGGATGATGCCTGGAGGAATTGGTCAGTCAATTGATAAAATAGTTTGGGCATCAATACATACCAGTGCCATCGTTGGGGACCTGCCCCGGGGCGTCGCTCAGGGCCGAGTTTGCGGAAGCCTTGTTGAGCTCCATGGTGTGGGATGGTAGGTGGGAGGAGCTGTCAGGTTTGCTACCAGAAGTTATGGCAGCGGGAGGATGCAGGTTTCACAGCGACAGGCCGCCAGATGAATTGCAGAGACGATCACGAATTTGCGGGGTCTCTAACCCGATTGCTGAGGGCAGCGCTCAACCAAAAGTTGTTGCCAACCCAACAATCAACGTCATAGCTCCGAGCACGCTGCAACGGGCATCGCGCCCGCGCCACGTCCCAACAGCGTATCTCTGCTGGGGTGCTGTCGGAAGGATTTGCGCTACAATTCATTCGGAGTCAGGAACCGGCATCCGCGTCTAAAATGCCATTGAAGCGGACCCTGAGGCGCTCTGCCGACGACATGGTGTTGTAGACTACCTGATAGTAGCACGCTGGTCACGCGTCGGCGGCAAAGGCCCTTATCGGCATCGGGAACCGTGGGGACAGAGCTTCCCCCGCATCTCTGGCCTAACGTGGGGAGCTCACGGCGGCTCAACCACGGTTACTTCCAAGCCTCGAGCGCAGCCGGCGCCATCGCGACTTTGTATTAAAGTCCCCGTGATGCCCTCGATGCCCTTGAGTTTGTAGTGTGATTCCCCCTGCGCTTCCTCTCCCACGATGCTGCTGTCCAAGACAATCCGGAGGGCGCTTCCCGCTGCCGTCTCGCCCCAGGCCCGCGCGTCCTACCTCGCCCTCTATAGCATCTCGCGCCGCGCGCCCTTGTCCCAGTCGCACACGCGCAAGTCGTCTAGATTCAATCGCTCCGACTTCAGCGGCCAGGGCTTCTCGTCTTTCTATGAGCCTGACCAGCCTACGCGCGGTCCACTGGGCAACACCAGCAATGTGGGCGCAGGCCACATCACGCCCAAAGTGCTGAGACAGCACCTCGACCAATTCGTCGTCGATCAGGATCGCGCAAAGATAGTCTTGAGCGTAGCTGTCCACGAGCACCATCTCCGCATCCAGGAGATCAAGAGGCAGCACCATGAGCAGGCTAGACTCGAGGCGCAGGCGCAGAGGCGAGCATCCGTGTACAGACATCCTGTAGAAGGTAGCCCCAATTTTCATATTGATCCAATCATCGACGACTTCAACCGTCATCCTCTTATGATGCGGGCGCTGAGCAGCAGAGCAGACGAGTTCCCCGGCCAGCAGTCCACCGTGGAACTGCACAGTCACAGTGACCCTCTACCCTACGGCGAAGCACCTGCCTACAAACCAGCCTCGTCCACCTCGTCAGATCCCGACTCCTTACTCGATACCAGCGAGCACCAGCTGCAGATAGAAAAGTCCAATGTGCTCATACTTGGACCAACTGGTGTAGGGAAGACGTTGATGTGCAAGACACTGGCCAAGACGCTGGGTCTACCCATCTCCATGTCGGACTGCACTACCTTTACACAGGCAGGATATATTGGCGA